CAGCCGACTAGAACATCACGTGCCTCCTTGTTGTGTACAAAGTCGACACGGAAAAAGACTTGCAGCCAACAGCGCATGACGAGCATCGTCCGCAGGCGTACGATCTTGCGTACAACTTCTTGTCGCTTGATCTCGGTGGGGTGATAGTCTGCGGGAGGTTGCTGAAGAGTCCACATAAAGCGCATGATGAGCAATCGTGCGAGCGCTGCAGGAGGGAGAAACGGTCGATAGGAGATAAGGGTGTCGAGGAGGATGTCATAGTCCAAGCTCGAGGTGAGCTGGGCGATCCAGCGCTCAAGGGTGCATGCAAGTAGGTTTCGCCTGACCGGGCCTTGAGTAGGTGTCGGAGGTTGTACGTTTATGAACGCACTTTGCCTGGGAGGGCCTGTTGGGACGACCGGCGGGGTGGGAGTGGACCAGAGGATAAACCTCGGGTCATCGGGTGGCAAAGGGTTGACCGCGTCGCCGTTCTCGAACGGGACGGGCGATGTACGATTGCTCGGGGAGGACAGTGCGGAGCCATCGAACGTCTGGAGGACGTCGAAGACGAGAGCATGATATGAAGCGATGAAGCTGTTCTTCGTTGGTGGGGTGATCTCGAGTGTCGGAGAGTGTATGGCGCCTGGAGGGGTGATGGCGGTAGGTGTATGCTCCAAGTCCGGAGATTGGGGATCAACCCTAGCAGTAAGGACACTATCGAAGCTATGGCTTCCACGCAACGCGGGCCCCCCATCGACTGATAGCGTACCCTCCGCGAGTTGCTGCAGACATAGAATATGCGCGTGATCGAGTTCTAAAGAGCTCCGGTCTTCAGAGAAAGGCTCTATCGGCTCCCAGCGACCATCTAATCGGCTTCGCGGAGAGAGCGCGACTAGTTCTGCCACACCCTGTGGGGGAGCAGAGGACGCTGTGCGCCCGTCACTGTACCCCACACGGCCTGCTCTTGCGCGTACACTAGGCGGTGGCGTTGGCATTCCCATCAAGTCTAGAAAGCAGTCTTCTCCCAGTCCAGGGACATGAGCAGAGGTAGGTGGGGCCGTGACGGGAGTAGGCGCGCCAGTGGAGGAAGGGGATATGGTAGAAGATGACGCGGTCCTATATGATGCGGCGACGTGATTGCGCGCGGGTGATGAATGGAGGAGAGTGCTCCTAACAGGAGACGCCTGCTGAGGTGTCATGGTATTCCGCTGAGAGGAGGCGATTGTGCTGATGCTCAGCTGGCAAGAGGGGATGCGGAGCGCATGCGCTGTGGGCTGCTGCTGGCACTCCATCGCCTTTGTTGGCGACGTGGTGATGGGATAGTGTGAGCTTGTCGTCGTCGTTGTCGTCGTCGAGCGTGCCGCCCAGATGGTTGTCGAGGTGTGAGAGAGAGGGGGGGGGAAGGGTACAATAGACTTTGTACGATGAGTTGAGGGCGTGTACAGCGGTGAAGAGGCAGGCGATTACGACTGCTCAGCGGATCTCATGGTGTGCACAGGCGGCGTGGGCCATGCGCTCGATGCACGCCTGGGACGTCATCCACGCAGATCTCCACCTCGGCAATATACTCGTCGATTGCGATTTGAGAATCAAGCTTTGAGACTTCGAATATGCATCCTTTCCTGGCAACTACCCGGAATAGCCTCTGTCAGTCGTCAATTGTCCATCAAGGACTTTCGCGACCCGGTGTTGGATCGAAACGAGTTCATGCAGGTGGACATCTAATTGTCTTGGTAGTCTTCTGTATTGGATCCTGACAGGACACTCTCCATTTGAAGGCATCGAAGAGTATGAGACACCTGCCGACTTTCCTCCGACTGTATGAGGCGGGTACATTTCCACTGGACACATCAGACTTACCACTAAGCATCCTCACACTGGATATTTGGCAAGGAAAAGTCCGAGATACGGGGGAGATACATCACCAAGTAGCTGCCAACATTCCACTTCCAACCGACTTGTAGTACTCAGTTGTTAACCTTTTCTGGGGGTTAGAATTACGGCTATCCATTAGAATCTCCATTCCCCTCACTCTCGTAACTCCCTTGCCACATCAGAGGCTCTGAGAGACGTGCGAAGGAGATGCGTGTTCTAATGAGAGAGTCGATCGCTCCGCTCTCCACTTTTCAGATTGCGAATCTGCACGACAGAGGGAGAAATCTTCAGTTGCCTTCTTGTAATCATACAGTGGATGACATCCTGTAGGACGCAGATACGCAGATACATAGAATGGAAGCAAATCCGAGGAGCCGGAATCAGATCTGTGTCGACACCCCATTCCCGTAGGACCAAAAACCAGCACGCAGATACGTAGATTCTGTGCAGAGGGTGCATGTGATAGGCATAGAAAAACGTGATATGCCGGACTGCACGTGATATGC